CTTCTTCTGTATATGCTGAAGCTCAGACTTGTAATCTGGTGTTGTATTTCAGAATATCCTAACTTATTTCCCTCTCTACTCTGATCCAGGCATCCTATGATTCAATTGTTGTTTGAGTTTGCAATCCCATTAAGTATTATGCAATTATTATATTATTTTGCAGTAAGTAATGGTTCACATTTGTGGCCCATATACATAACCTGACTCAATGAGTGGTCTAGAGAAGAATGAACCTCCTTAACAGTGAGCCCGGGTCCTTGAACTAGATATGATGTGTGCTCCCAAAGGACAAGAATTGCAGGAACATTATTAGCACCACACCATATTTCTCTACAGGGGAGCAGGTGCATTTTTGGATGGCATGGCAAGTCGGCAGTCTTCCTGAGGCACCACTCAGGAATAGAAACTGGGGGATCTGGAGACAGAACAGAAGTCCTTGTCTCATCCAGCAAGGTCAAAATTCTTCTTCTATTACACTGAATTTTCTAAAAGTCAAAAGAAGCTGTCAAAAACTTAGAGTGGAGAGGCAGACTGACTCTGTTGGTTTAGGATGGATATGATATCTGAAGTTTTTTAAATGTCCCCACAGCAGAATGCATGGGACCGTAATCCCATCAGTGCCAGTGGGAGTTAATTTGGATAACAGAGTGATTCATCTCTGAGAGTTTGTGTAATTTTAACTTGAGGACACCGTTTTCTCAAACTTAGCAGGAGACTGTGGATTTGAAGACCATATGTTGTTTGAGTCAGAGCCACACCATGCACAGTTGTCCCACCAGACAGCTGTCAGGTGTGTGTCTAGGTCCCTGGATTTGAAAGCTGGTACAACTCAGGATGGAAACCCAAATCAAGAAAATTCCATCACCTAAAAGTGATGGAGGCTTTGGTTCAGGAATGACTTCACAACATGGGAAACAAACTAACCATCTTCCCCAATACAAAGTGAGTGACAAAGGGGCTAAGAGAATTAAAAACATCATGAGATATTATCAGGGAGGGGAATCAAATATCAGGCATCCACCCCAGGTTATGGGAGGACTGACGCATGTGTGTAAGGCACAGTGTTCCCTGTTATCATCACCACTTACAAGGGAAGAAATTGTCTTCACAACACCCTGCCCCAAAGCATGACATGGCTGCTGGGGGGCTACCTTTGGGTCCACACAGTGTTCTTCCTGCTTGTACAGTTCCCGATGCGACCCCATTGGAGTGCCTCTCTCCTTTACTCTAAATTCAATTTGTGCAAAAAGAGACAGAACATGATACACAATGTTATTCCTCAGGAAAGACATGATGTACATCCTAACTTAGTGGTTGATGGTCCTTATATTCTGATTAACATAGAAAACTGGGAGGGGGACAGAGGGGCAATAGATTTGCACTGTCCTGATACAGAGACTTTATATTCTAGTCAGAGTTAAAACCCACAGTCAAGGTCCACGATGGCTCAAAGTAAATAAGTACTTGAAGTCAGTAGGAGACACACATGTGTGGAGCCTCCGTATGAGCCTCCCAATTGTAGGAAAACAGTTCTCTACAAAAGGAGAGTCCATATGTGTCAGGTAAGGTCTGTGGGGTATGGGGAGGTGTGGCTGCAGAAATGGGTCCTCTCCATGCCCTGGTGACAAAGAGAGAAGGCTCCTGGCTTGAAGCAAAGAGCAGCTCCTGTGCCCAGGTGGTGCCTGCAGCTCACACCTGAGGTTAGCAGTGGAATCTAGTGGAGAACATGGGACATAGGGGCACAGTCAGAGGCTGAACACTTGTTGTAACTTCCACTCCCTGGTACCTGAGTCTTGAATTTTCTTGTGCAGAGGTTTCTTCTGCAGCCTGGCCAGTTCCTCCCTCTCTGCTCTTCATCCCAGTTCCTGGCCTCTTCCATCGCCTGGACTTTCAGAGCCTCTACCTCAACATTCACCTGTCCACCTGCTCTGCCTCCTGGTCTCTTCTCCACAGCCAGCAGATCATGTTACCAAACAGCAAGGGATTGAATCTCCTTCTGGGACCAAGAGCTCCTGGGAGAGGAGGGTGTGTGGATGAGCCTTGAAACAAGCGGCTTCTCCTGCTGCTTCAGATCCTCCTCTGGCTGCTGCTTCCAAGCCTGTGCCTTCAGAGCTGCCGGTCATTAAACCAATGATTCCTGATACACACAGCAACACAGCTGTACCGACAAGGATTCATGCTGAGCCAAGGAAGCCCTACTGAATAGTACATATGATACAATTATCCATTTATGAAATCTACAAAATTAAAGGTAGTCTAAAGTAACATGAGAAAGATCAATAGTTATGTGGGGACAGGGTGAAGAGGGGAAGAGGGAGGAGGAATTCCAAGATAAGTACAGGACATTTTAGGGAGAATTGATGTGCTCACT